CATTCCATTTCCTGTAATTCTAGACAGGTGTCTCAGCACTCCCGACGCACCCAAAGTCACAATCTTCTCCCTCGCATTATGCTGTTATTCATGGAGAAGAAAATTGAAGGAATAAAGAGTTTTGAAAATGACGCTGGTGGAGGGCGCCTGATTTATGCCCCCCAAAACTTTCACCCGACAATTGGAATGCTCGTCGACCGGTTGTTTGCGCTCATGGGCTCTTTCAGAGTTCGTGGACCCTCAGCCAATATGTCAGTTGAAAACACAAATGGTTTTATAAACATTTACAACAAAAAAAGTTGCCTGCATTTTCTTATTCTGAGATATTCAACTCAGCATTTCAGATTTTCAAATGCATTAACTGACGAAGTCTAAATTTAATTTGAAAAATTCTAAAATAATATTATTAAATAATAATTGCGTCCATTATTATTTAATTTTTTTAAATTTTCTTAAAAGGGATTTTTTCGCGAAAATAGACTTTAATAAGATCTATTTATTGATACCAATTAAAATTCATTGTTCATACAAATTCGAAAAAATTGATATTTTTGCAAAAATCGATCACTCAAAAAATTGTCATTAAAACGAAATTGTCATCAGAATATGATGGGGATCGCACAATTTGTTGTTGAGTTACAGCACATTGTTTATGCGAATTGAAAGAGAACATTTTTTTTTCATGATTACTGAAAGAATCATCAGTAATAGCATTTAAATCAGGGCTTGAAAAGTATATTTCAATGGCTTCTTAATCAAGTTGAAAAATGGTGAGAACAGCATCATTGCTTATCAATTAACACAATACCGTCATGAGTTTTTTATATAAAAATCTCTATCTCTATTAAACTCAGGTACCAGTCTATTATGTTGAATACTTATTCATATTGATTCATGGTCCCGACTAACTTCTGACAGAACCTGGGTTAAACTCTGGCTAAATCCTGAATAAACCCTGATTAAATCCCGGCTATACACTGATTAAACCTTGATTCAACCTTGATTAAACCCGGACTGAAAACGAATTCGAGTCTTGAGAGGGCCTGAATGTAGAATTACTTGACAGAACGAAATAATACGCAAAATTTTGATGACATTTCAATTGATGATAGTACTCTGGTATGAAAAAAGAGAAAAAGAGAATAGTGGAATAAGAATTGAAAAAAGAGAACCCACTCGGAAGGAACAATAACTATGCTCATTAATAAAAAAATGTAATTGTCCAATTAACAACTGAAATTAATCTTTTCCTCACAATTTACACTATTATCAATTTTTGGCTGCAGTTGTGGTTCAATTCTTGAATATTTTTATCAAGTTACAGCTTCACTGAAATTCCAATGAATTTCAAATGACATTAAAAATTCACGATTTTATTGAAAAAGTCAATGAACACTATAAATTTCAGTTCCATCATTCCATGAAAATCAATAGAAATCCGGGAAAATTCAGATTAAAAATTCGATTAAAAAAAAAATTACCAATACAGGCACGAAAAAACACCTGAAATATTCACAAACTCAACTAAAAAAAATCCCAAACAAAATACTGAAAAGTCGAGGACAAGACTCTCGCAAGCTCTCCCAAGAAACCCAATTCCCCACCCCAGAGCCTTCAACAACAGACTGTCCTCCAAAAAAAGCAAGAAAAAAATTGAATAACCGGATATTACAATCTAGATCGACAGGAAATTGAAAGACTTCACCGATGAATGCAAGGCGTTTATAAATCCCAATGCCTGAGATACATGAAAACGACATTTCGTATTAAAAGAGACGAGACTGCGTAGAATATGGCGCACCCGTTTCAACAGACAACCGCAGTGTGCACCAAGCGATAAAGACTACTAATTAGAGAGTCGTTCGAATGAAAAGTCATTTCGCAAGTTGCCCTTTTTTTTCTCTTCATTTTTTACATTTTTTTTTAAAAACGACGACACATTTGCCTTTGGATGAGTACATACAGCCGCTTAGTTGAATAAAGATAAACGTTCTTTAACACGGGCCCCGCTGCCCCCTTCTTACATCGCGCCACGAGAGTCCAGTGCAACATACGGCTTTTGCCAATGGCCAGTGTGCCTGGTGCACACGCTTTCACGCTGTGCATCTCACGCGCTTCATCCACACGAAAACGTGCCTCTGTGTGTCCCACATCGCTATCTCATTCTTCAATGTGGAATTATTTAATGGAAACATCCGTTCGTTTGCGAATAACTTGGACTAGGATTTATGCATTTTTGGGTATTGAAATGTTGGGGGAAACATTTGTTTAGCTTTTTTTGATGAATTTTTGACAAATTTTGGCTTGATTTTTTAGGAATTTATGAAGGGACGGTTCCACCGGAATTTTTGGGAATTCTGTGATTGAAAATTCACAATTTAGAGGAAAATCCGATGAAAACAGTAAATTTTAGCTTAATTGTTCCATAAAATTTTTCAATTTTTCCAAAAATCGATTGTCCCACGATAACTAAAAAAATGTTCTGAATTCATTGAATGATGGCTTAAAAAATTTGTTTGGATGCCCTTCTGACCGAGTTCGAAGATGAAGGCGATAGCAATAATCCTTGTTTTGATTTACATAAAAATTTGCAAAATTTTTGTATTTTTTGAAAATCGGAATTCCGGGGATATCTTGAGATATCACGCTTCAAATGAATTCAATTATAGCTTAAAATGTTGTTTTCAATGCCACACTGTCGAAGTTGAACGATAATTACGACAGCTATATCTGTTGATTTTATTTTTCCGATGATTTTTGCAAATTTCGAATTTTCCATCATACATTAATAATAATCGACAACGGCCTAAACGTGGCTTATGTAGACGACAAACCTGTGGACTGCAGAGCCGATAGAAAAGCCAATTTCAATAACTAGGAAACCGTTGAACGAAAATATAAACACCGAAACGTGAATAGGAAATACAGCTCCTGAAGTAAATGCCACGTAGTTAGGACGAGAATGTCAGCCCGTGAAGCACCAAAGGGGTGAGGGGAGTGATAGGACCGCAAAAAAGACAATCGTTTAAACGAAACAAAGGGATAATAAGAATAACGATAATGATAACACTCAGCTGAGTTGAAAATCTGACACAATTGTTTAAAAATAAATCCCATCAAATTTAATAACATAAAATAACCAATAAATTACACCCCAAAGAAAAAAATGATGTGCGAAATGACCATGCGGAAGCATACTACTAATTTATTCGCAAAAATAACTGTAGCACACGAAGACAAGCCAATGTACACAACACAACCCAAGCACACAGTTACTTACACCGGAATGAGATGTAAAACCCCTTGAATATCTCCAACAAGAACTCCACTTTTACATGCACCGTCTTATCTCCTCAGATCTGAGCCACCCCGACACGAAAAATTCTAATCCCTAATTTCCACGATAACAACACCTCCATTCGGAAGCAACAATTATGCAAATGCCTGGGAAAGCTCACCATTCCCATCCGGAAGTCCTTTTAAATCTAAAACTCCCTAATTAGTGACTTTTTCTCGACGGGGGGTCAAAAATAAAAGACCTCAAGGATCCCCCTTCGCCCCCTCAGCCGCAGTGAGCCAATGTAAAACGTTACGAAGTCCCGTGTAACGTACAATTAAATGATTGTGCCCCTTGAACTACTTCTACATTGTTGCACACAGTGTTTTGTAGAGGGCATACAAAGGAAGATGGATCACAATTGGGACGCGAACGGTACCAATGAATGGAATTGCATATAACCCATATAAATCGCACGAGTATTCTTGCAGGTTTCTTTACAGCCGTGGAGAATCTTTATTTATCCAGTCGATGGGCTTATTATATGTCTCATTTCTTACTCTTTGAGCTTTCCTTACCATTTTTATACTTCTCCAGGTGAGTTGAGCCGCACAGAGGCACATATTGAACACAAAAGAAGTGGGTCGGGAGGAAGAGCTAACTGACACTGACGCTTTCAGGATCAATATTAAGATAATACTCGATTTAAGGAGTTTCCCTTTTCACCTTGAATGCAGTAAAATGATGGGATTTATTTTTTTAATGTGAGAAATTGTTATGGAATTATTTATCACTTTGTCAACTTTTTTCATTCTTTAGGAAAAAAATTATCACAAAACAATTTTAGTTGGAGTTCTGTTTAAAAAAATTGGTAACTGGAAATAAATAGTCATTTTAATGAATGGTATTAAAATTATGTGGTTCATTTTTTTTTAATTAAGCAATTATTCTACAGTTGATTGTAATTTTTTTTACTTCTAAAATTCGTTAGGATGAAAATCATGAGAAAATAATTTTACTCGAACTTTAGTGTCGAAAAATTGGTAGTTAAAAATAAATAATTCTTTTAATGAATTTGTTTTCACCCTGAAGTTGAAGAATGTAAATTAAAGAATAAATGGTATTAAAATGATTTTATTTTTTCTTTGATTCAAGGAACTATTCTATAATTGTTCATCATTTTTAGACTTCTCGAATTCATTAGAATGAGAATTATCAGAAAATAATTTTATTGGGGCTTTAGTTAAAAAAAATTGGTAGTGAAAAATAAATAATTCTTTTAATGAATTTGTTTTCACCGCAAAGTTGAAGAAAGGAAATTAAGGGAATTAATAGAATTTAAATGATGTTATTTTTTTTTTTAATTAAGCAATTATTCTACAATTGCTAATTATTTTTCAAGCTTTTAAAATTATTTAAGATGAGTATTATCACAAAATAATTTTACTTAGACTTTCGTGTAAAAAAAATAATAACAAAAAAATAAATAATGCTTTTTACTGTCTTTTACTGAAATATTTTCCAAAAACTAAATCACGAATTTGTCAATAATAATGCGTCGATTTCAATATTTTTAATGGGTCACAGCACAAAAGGAGTGGGTCGAGAGGAAGAGTAAATTGACACTGACGTTTCCAGGGTCAATACTAAGACACTCGCCTCAACTACAGTTTCCCTTTTCACCTTGAAGCTCCAGAAAAAAATCAAGTGAATGAATGCAGTATTAAATTAATATTATTTATTTTTCGAATATACGCAATTATTCCACATTTTTTAATAATTCTACCACTCGGAAAATTCTGCCTTTAGTTTTCCCTAATCATTCCGGAATTCACGAGAGACGACCAAAATTATTATGAAATCCTGCTCAACTATCCTCGAAAGAAATTGACCAATCAATCTTGATATCTTCATTAATTATCCACTCATCTTAACAACAAATTCATTCTAGAAGAAAACGCCAATGACCTGTTCTGCAGCTACGAATATTTCCAATAAAAATTCAGTTTATAGTTTCACTAAAAAGCACTCACCACCAAGACAATTCACCATCCAACGATTCGTTCCACTCGCAAAACTCTCTCATCAGTTCATCTCCAGTTGAAATTGATTCCTCACGTCCCCATCACTCCCCCATCAATCGAACCCCGCCAAGATCAATAATTCGTACGACGATACCTCCCAACATCCAAGTCAACACTAGCATCACTCTCCGAGACAAGTTCAATAATCGCCCTTATCACAGTATCCTCCTGCGACTGCTCCTTAATACTCCCCGGATGCGTAATCTTGTGCTCCAGCAATTTATCCATCTCCTCCCTGAGCCTCTGAATGATGCCAGCAGTCGTCTGTTTGCACAGAAACGAGATAGAATCATTAAGCACAATCAAAGACCTCTGGCCTTGAGCTCTGATGGAGCTCTTCGGTGCAGCGAAAATCAGTGCTGCTTCATTGACACAGGTTGTGTCGTGCAAATAAATAGCCGTTGACTTTTGCTTGAGGAAGTACGTGACATACGGCGAAGGCAAGTGTTTGGCCCTTGCATTGACACTACTAGGATGAATCTTGACTGTACCATCCTCAGACGTCTTGAGCTTCGGAAAGTTCCCATGATTCTTGACAGTAGCAATATTAGGATACAATCCTGCGCAGACAATCGCCTTGATCATCGCGAAGTTATGAGAATTCCTGTTGGACCGCTCGTCACTGGGGTCCTCACTCTCCAGGAACTTCATGTCATACAAGTGCCTCGCAAACTGCCCCTTCATGTCCACCAGCAGCTTCAGAGTATTCCACGACAAGAAGTTCTCCGAGCAAAACCTCCCGGCGTTTCTGGATCGCAAAGCCCTCTCGTACTGCCTCACAGCTTCAGCGAGTGCAATGTGATCGCTGTAATGTCCCATCCCGAGATCCAACTTGGCTCTGTTCGCCTCCTCCTCCTTCCCGAGAGGGCAGTAGAAAGCATCCTTAAAAGCCAGACTAGCAGCAATCCCGAAGACAGGCTCCACACAGGAGAACATGGACGCCCACAGGACCATCTTCCCCGTTCTGGGGTCAAGAGGTAGCTTCGCGAGATGGTACCCCAGAGGCGTCAGGTGCTCATTAGCATCGAGAGCGTTAAGGGTTCTCAGTAGCTCCAAGGAGAGGTGAATCGCCCGATCCTCCGGCGGATCGATCACACTCCCGAGGAAGACCTCGACCCTTCCTAACTGCAATATCTTCGCTTGCAGGATGACCTGCTCCAGAGGTGTCCTCAACATCTCCGGCGTCGGGTATTGATCGAACGTCATCTCCCTCGCTCTCGTGTACAACCTGTAAACCTCTCCAGGCTGAACCCTCCCAGCCCTCCCCCTCCTCTGCTTGGCATTCGCCATCGAGATCCACTCGGGCTCTAGTGTCTCCAAGTTCTTCGCGATATCGAATCTCGTGAGTTTCGTTCGCCCGCAATCCACGACGAACACAACATCCTCGATAGTGATGGACGTCTCGGCGATTGACGTCGCAATGATAATCTTCCTGACACCCGGCACCGGAGGTCGGAAAATCAGTCGCTGATCGACTGTCGGAAGTCGCGAGTGAAGGGGGTAAATGTGGAACCTGTGGGAGGGGAACTTTCCCGACTCCAGGAGACTCTTGTTAAGCTTCGATATGTCCATCATCCCCGGTAGAAACACGAGAATGGCCCCGGGGCCTTTCGCCGACGAAATCCACACCAAAAGTTCCTGAATCAACTCCAACGACAGCACTTCGCTGTTCGGATTTCGCAGCTCATTGGTCACGTAAGGGGGGTACGACCCCTCGGCCTCCATCTGCCTCACCGCGGGCTCAACGAAACCCTCGAAATCACTCGCCTTTTCCTTCATCTCCTTGAACTTCTTCATATGCTTCTTGTAGTTGTCAGGGAGCTTCTGAGCCGGAGGGAATCGGAACCTCGTCACCTCGAGGATGTCCTCGAGGTAGAACTCCCTGACGGGATAGGTGAACCCTGGGATGTGGATGTTGGGACAGTTGTCGTAGTAACGAGCAAAAGTCTCAGAGTTCAGGGTAGCGCTCATCAGGATGACTTTGAGGTCTGGCCGTTTGGGGATGACCTGCTTCAAGAGAGTGATTATGAAGTCGCTCTCTGTGTTTCGCTCGTGTATTTCGTCGAGGATTATGTGGGAGAAGTCCCGCAATGCGGGATCCCCCTGCATGTACTGGAGAAGGAGCCCAGTCGTGCAGAAGAGCATGCTACCGTAATCCCTGGACATGACCTTCTCCAGACGTATTTGGTAACCGACGGATCTACCTAAGGGCTCAGCACGCTCTGCGGCCACTCTCTCGGCCACCGAAATCGCGGATATTCTTCGCGGCTGCGTGCACACGATTTTCGTCGTGCTACCCCGGCCCCTCTCAATCTCATCGTCTAGGATAAATTGAGCTACTTGCGTCGTTTTACCGCAACCCGTCTCACCGCTGATCACGAGAACCTGATTTCCGTGGATCAGATCGAGAATTTCCTCACGCATTTTGTAGGACGGCAATTTCGAACGAAAGTCCAACATTCGTTGATAATCATCGAGAGATTCTCGGTCGCTTTGTTCGTCTATTAATTGTTTGTCGATTTTATCGTTTTTTATCAGTTTTGAAGTCATTAATAACGCGCGAGACAGGTTCTGTTGAATACTCCCGGAAACAATGTCGAGAAACTTTCGCTTGAATTGGGAATCTTTGATGTGGTTGTATTTGTCGTTGAAGTAGTCGGTCGCCTCGTCCGGCGAGTCGGACTCCTGGGCGTAGGGGGTTTTCAAGCGGGTCAGGAGGGTCTCCACGGTCTCCTCGACCATCGGGGCGAGGGAGAAGTAGTGCTCTTTTGCATCGTTTTTACGGGCTTTGTCGCGGTAATATAAACCTATTTCCTTGCCTTTTAGACCGGGTGGGTGACCACCGCGACCTCGACCTCGACCTCCGCCACGGGGGTGACCGACGCCGTTGTGACGACGATCGTGGGAGTTGCCGGGGGCTGGGTCTCCTGGTGGACAAAGGAGGGTTCACTGTGAAAATGCGGGGGGTGAGGGCTGGGGCGGGGGTCTACTTTCAACTAGAAGACTTTTAGACTTGGAAAATTTACATGAATGAAATAGGGGCGCGTGCAGTAGTGAAGCGGCTAAACGATTCAAAAGGCAATGGGACTTATCCAATTTTGACTTCGGTGATAAGTTTATTCGTGGCGAGACGACTGTTTAGCAAAACCCAAATTCTTATATCATGATCTGGGTATTTATAGTGTAAGAATTTGGTTTTGCTAAATAGTCGTCTGATGACGTGTTCCATTGCCTCTTAAGGATATCCAAATAGTTTTTTTTATCCAGCGAAATGATTTTATTATTTAAAGTCTGCAGGTCTGAATTTGAGTATCGATATACGGAAACGTTAGAATACATTTTAAAAATCTGAAAAAATGAGTTTACTTTTGGAGAAAGATTGATGAAATAATTGGAAAATTGCAATTTTTCAAAATTAGGAGCATGTTTATAAATAATTTATAAACAATCGATTTTCCACCATGAAAATCAGTTTTCGGAATTTTACAAGAAATCGATTTGATGTCTACAAAAATTTCCGAAAGTTTAAACAATTTCAATTATATTTTTATGAACAATGAGTGTTTAAAAACAGAATAATTCGGTGCAGAATGTAATTAGAATGATGCTGAATATTCATGATTTTTTTTAAATTTTTCTCACGCAATTTAATTACTTTACCAATCTGTAAGATATCCTTAAGTGAGTTTTCAAGGGATATCTCCGAATCTAAGAGAGATAACCAAATTTTTGTAATTACCTTTTTTGTAGCTCTCAATTTGCTCTACAAAAAATGTTATGGGGAAAAGTTTGCTATTTGCCTTAGATTCCAAGATATTCATTGAAAACTGGTCAGTTTATAGTCAAAATCGACTTGAGCCGTTTTACCGCTTCGCTGCTGAATGATATTACATCAATCCCCAAATAATGATTTCAATTGTTGTTCAATTATTAATTTTTCGCATATCGTTGATGGAAAAATAATTAAGAAAAAAAACTGATAATAAAAATTGAAAAATTTGGATAGAATTTGTTTCTACTTTAAGCTACAAAACAAATCATAAAAGAATGAGAGCAATTAAGTCATCTCGTTCCAACACTTCACTTGGAAATTGACAAAATATTTTGGAAACTAATGGAGTGGAAGCAACACGTCAAGAGATTATTTTGATACTTCATTGAATTTAAAAGAAAAAACCTTTTATCATTTTTGAGAAATTTATTCCTGAGATTATTCCCGAATTAACGAAAGTTATACTATTTTCCTCGAAGGGTTCAGTGAATAAATAACGAAAGGAACTGCTGAATTTCCGGAGAAGAATGTTGAATTTTTTTTTAACAGCACATCATTTTTCTACAAGAAAAGTCTCTCAATGAGTTCCCACAAATCCTATTGGATTTATTAACAATAAAATTGAATAAAATAAACATTTCTCTTTATATTTTTTTCGCCTATTTCTGAAGCTGTAACCCTGTACCAATAATAGAATAACAACAACAAAAATGAGACACCAAAAAAACAAAAAGAAATGTTATTATTAAAATTGTTAATATTAATCAAGATAAATTAACCCTTTTGTTAAAAAATTATTCTTCTCAGTGAAGACTTAATCTCTTTCAAGTCCTCTTTAATTCCATTGACAACAAAACCCTAAAAGTTTATATTTTTGTAATTATTTTTGCGAGATAAAATGAATATTCTTTTTCCTATTTTTTCGATTATTTCTAAAGCTATAACCCTGTAACAATAGAATAACAACAACAGAATAACAACAACAAAAATCAAACACTAAAAAGACAAAAAAAGTCTGTTCTTGTAAAAATTGTGGATAATTAATCGAAATAAATTAACCCTTTTGTTAAAAAAATATTTTTCCAATGAATTCTCAATCTCTTCTGAGTTCTCTTCACTTCCATCAACACCAAGACCCTAAAAATCTATATTTTTTTCATAATTACTATTCCTGCACTCAATGACAATTTTTGGAGGTTGGAAAAAACTAACAATCCCCAGGAAAAATTACCTGACTGTCCGTAACGGGAGTGTCCACCCCCTCGCTGATCAGTCCACGAAAACCTCGACATCTTCCTCAACCCCTTATTTACCAAACAATTCAATAAACCGTATACATAAACGTTTACATTGTTTTCATCAGAAATTTTGTTGCGTCCTCTGACACAAGCGCTGACGTAAAGTGCTTGGCCCAGTCGGTAAGCGCAGAAACTATTTGCACCACTGGAGTCAATTGGGCAACAATCCACGCACTTCATCTCCCGAAAATATTTTTACACCGAACGTAAATGATTTCCCTCATCCCAGAAATTTTTAATTAATTTTTTATCGTCATTTTCCAGTGGGCGATCGACATTTTCGGGTGTCAAGTTGATAACCGGAAATCAATTTCAAATTTGACCCCCACTTGACGCTTCTTTTTCCGGTCCTTTTGTCGGGTGTATTGGACTGATACCAAAATGGTAAGATCGGTCATCGTTAATTTACTAATTAATCCCAACGAAATACCTGGAATTATCGATGTCAGTGTCGTCAGGAGGAGATTCTCCACCGTTCCATCATGATATTTATGGGATTGCATTATCCGAGTGATTAAAAAGTTCTGTTTTGTGACGAGTGAGGTTATGGTGACCCATGGACAATTTATTTATTGGCATTGCCAACGTGAATCGTGTTTTGCAGTCGACAAATGATGAAAATCACAACAGAAACGAGTCGATGGTTCAATTTAATTAATTCACGGTTTGACACAATTTCTGGGGAAATGTTCACGTTTATGAAGCAGCTGTTAATTTCTTGGTTATGTCGAGTGTTTTGAAGCTAGCCCGTGGCACTGACCATCGATATTCTCCTCCAAAATGATTTTACGGACGAGAATGGCAGTGGAATGGAGCAGTTGAGGTTTTAATGGCTTGTTTATTTCTGTTGCAATTAGGCCAAACGTACAAAGAAGGTTGGAATCACCGGGAAGTACGGTACCCGTTATGGTGCCTCCCTCAGGAAGATGGTGAAGAAGATGGAAATCACCCAACACAGTAAATACACCTGCACCTTCTGTGGCAAGGTAGGAATAACAATTCTATGAATTAAGAGTGAAATTTACGAATTAGTTCAAACGGTCTTTTACTGTTGACCAGTTTTTGTTGGATATCTCGAAATCTAGGGGGGATAGCGAAATCTTTGTCATGACCTTTTTTGGAGACCGATAAGAGGGCTACAAAAAATGTCATTACGGAAATCTCGGTATCTTGCTTAGTTTCGGAGATATTCCTCGACAACTCAACTTGGGGAAAAACCGACTAAAATGACGAAATTCACAAATCACGAAATTTCGGTTTGTTGGTTTTTCCTGGGGCAAGAACTTATTGCCTCCCTCAAGTGTTCGATGAATTCAATAATTATCCTGGATTTAGAGGACAATTTCGAGAAGTTTTGAAGGAAATTTCATACATTGATAAATAAAATTTGTTGGAAGTTGCTTTCAGTCTATTGGAGACATTCCTAAAATGATGGATTGAATGTTTTTCAAGCTGTATTATTCTATAAAATCACGTTTCACATGATTTCAATATGAATAAAAGGGTATTTTTATATGAATGACAAATAGAATAGAAATTCATTGAATAAAAAATGAGAAATTTTTTTGTTCGAATCATTTAATCCTTAACGAAATGGGAAGTTCTTCTTTAATATTGTATTTTCCCACTGGGAAAAATTCTAAATTTCGTAGACGTTGAAGGGGAAAAAATAAAGTTTCAAATTTCACAGGAAATTAAATGGAATTCCAAATTTTTTACAAGCAGGAAGAGAATATCCCAAATTACTTAAATTTTCATTTCATTTTCAAGAAATAATTGAACTTCAGCCTACAGTCTTCATTGATTCATCAAATTATGAAACCTCAATCACGAAATTCCTTGAAATTTCGATGGAACTCTCAATCGATAAATTTCCTAAGAACTGTACTAAAAATTTCAGCCAAAAATGATCAACTCTGCAGTGAAATAATAGCCGAATTCATCATTAACTGTTTCGTCTTGACCTATTAAATTATCAATTATTTTTATCTACATGAACATGAATGGAAATGGAATGAAAATACAAACAACTAAACGATTCGTACATTTCTGTTTAACCAGGATGCCATGAAACGCAGTGTCGTTGGAATCTGGTCCTGCAAACGTTGCAAGAGGACAGTTGCTGGAGGTGCCTGGGTATACGCCACGACAGCTGCAGCATCCGTCAGATCAGCAGTCAGAAGATTGCGTGAAGTTAAGGAACAGTAAATTATAAACTCAATAAAAAACTTTTACAAGTACTCCTGCCTTCCCTTCATTTCCCTGGAAAAAACACCCCAATCAACCTATTCAAATAAAACACTAGACATTTTTTGCAATCGTCACTACTCATCAGTGAGCAATTGAATAAGTGGAAAGAACACCAAAAAATGCCACGAATTGGGCAATGAATTAACTTAAAACATGAGACATTTTTGTAACAAATTTGTGTATTTATCGATATTCATAGAACTACAAGCAAGATGGAAAGTTTCTCTGTTCATTAAAAAGTTCACCTATGTGCTGATGGAATGGAGCAAGATATTTCTTCAACATATCCTAAACATTATTGTAAAAATTAAATCTAACAAGAGAATTAGGATAAAATACTGTCGAGACACATTATCCAGTCCTTCATCACATGAACAAGAAAACTCGTACCCAAAAATATACAGAAAAAAGGTGACAATCTGATCAATTAATTACAAAAAATTCAACTAATCAATGGAAGAACGAAGGAATTAGAACAATTGGTTCTGTCACAACACTTGAATCACCTCTCGAGTACACTTAAAGGGGGGAGAAGGAAATTAAAATTGTTATTCTGTGATTTTTTCTACTCTCAATCATACAGAAGAGATTCTGACATCTGTACAAAAATAAATACTGCAATTCTTAAAAGAAATTCATTAAATACAATCGAAGCTTCAGGTAAATGGAACTCCCACCTCATTAATGTATAATTTTCTATAATCTCTTCTCTAGAAACTGTATTAAATTGTCTGGGGCCTCAACAGCTGAGACTCGAGTGCAAATAGTATTGTCCGAATATTCATTGTTCGCTAATTAGAAGAATTAAAAAAATCTCATGGTAATGTCGCAAGGATAACGAGTACAATCTCCAATAATCATCACTGAGCAATTGAATAAGTGGGAAGAGCGCCAGCGAATGTCATCGATTCAGTAATTAATTAAAATGAGTTGATAAGTATTTTCCCACTCCGAGGCGAATGAAATTCATCTCAAATATCCAATTCCCCCCAGAGTGAGTGATTTTACGACGAAAAGTCGTTTGAAAATTTCCTATGAGTAAAGTTTTATGAATTTTGTCGTAAAATCAGTCGTTCTGGAGATGAATGGCTCACCATATCGTTCAAGAATGCAATATCTCACGCACTTTTTCCTCATCTCCTCATTTCCCTCAACTACAGACCTGGTAACTAAGTAAGTAAAACCCTAAGACAGATCTGAATGATAAGTACAGTATTGAAGATCGATATTCTCGTCAGTATAATTTTTAATTATGTTTCAATCTTCGTAAGAGCGTGATGGAGGAACACGAAAGGACTCTTTCCCCGTACGTTTCCAAATAAATTCTACGATATTCTAAGTAATTCATCATTGCGACCTACATTCAAACAATGTCTCAATGTCGAGACACTTTCATTCTTATATCAAACCCAATTGCACTCATCTTACACTGTTAGAAAATTACTCCCGAAATTTCGAGTAAAAATTTTTACTCATTTATTTGGGATTTCCACACGTCTTGTTTTGATTCTACTAATAATTTTATCTCAAATTCAATTCTAATTTAAACATCTAGAGAATTATATTTGATTGAAAAAATTCAAGAGAAAAAATCAATAGAATCTGATTTTTTTATATAAATTATTTTATTTTAATTCAATTTTTTATTTATTCATTTCATTCTGTCAAGATATTTTCTATGGAAATGCCGCAGCTCAAATTTCCGCAATTTATTTCTTTGATTTTTAAATAAAGAGAAAAAAATTGAGTGGAAAAACCTAAAACTTCATGTCGAGGAATTCTTATAGAAAATGTCTCAACAGGAAAAATTCCTAAAAAAGATAAAACTCTATTGATTTTCCTATAAAATAAAAACCAATAATAAAATTTCCTTTTGAATACCCCAGGTTTTCCCCTAAAATTTTTCAGCAATTCCTGAAATTCCAAAGAAATTTCCAACAGTGTATGCGATAAAAAAAGAAGTAATGAAAATTGAGAGAAAAAAATTTTTCTCGAAGTAAATTATTCTCTATATCAACAATTATTTATTCAACAGTGGTCTGATATGCTTGAACTCTCGCATGATTGCTCCAATCACTCAACTTATGCCTTGCATATCGATTTTCACTTCTCAGGACTCACAAAAGCGTTCATTAGATTTTGTTAATCTCCCAGGTGCAATTACTATCAAGGCATACCATAAAAAATGGCAGTAAATGCTCCATACTGCTCTGTCTAGATACTCTTTCTCCTTAATAATAAAAATCTCAGACGATTTCAGATTAAAAAATTAACATTCAAACTGTTTCACTCCAGTTTTTGTTAATCTTTCATTTTATTTCATTCGCATTCTCATTCATTTGTTCGTCAACTGATGATCTTTTATTGATATTCATCTATTCGATAATTCATGCTGATTCACAACCACTCGTCCAGAACTCTCTGAGAGTCATTTTTGAAATTAGAATTTGATAAATACATTAACAAGTATTGCCTGCTGGTTAATTCGTATTTCGGTGTGTATTAGCTTGCTTGCCACTTGAATTTACTCTTCATTATCCACTTTTGTCCGGGATTGCGGACATCACAGGGGGATAAAACTGGCTGGGCTGCGTCGCCTGGGGGTGGTATCGATAGACAGTGACCAGTGTTGGTGTGTCTGATCATTTTTGTCTGAAAATATTGATTTAATTCAATTTAATTGAATTTAATTTGAGGATATAATAAATGATATATTAATAATAATAATAAATGATGATAAAATGACAGTAATCGTTATGAATAATAATGATATTGAGGATTAAATGCAAAGGGAATTCTGGAAAAATTAAGGCGAAACGTTTTTACATCTTGAATTCATCCACAAAATTGCAATTCCGAATTTTTTAGCAGCGAGAAGACAAAAATTACCTAATTTACTTGAATTTTGAATTAAAATATGAATACTGGGTATCAAATTAATTAAATTTTCAATTTAGCGAAAGTTCAAGACAATGTTTACGGAATTTTCCTGATTTTTATTAATTTCCATTGATTTTTCCATCAAATTATGAACTTTTAATAACGCAATTCCGTGTAATTTCATTTAAAAAACGTTTGCCAATACCTGAAAAAAGCATGAAAATTTGTAAAAAATTACTTCTCAATTTTATATGAATATATTTCAAATAAAAAAAATATTATGGGAATTTTTTCAAATTGATAAATGAAAAATTGTCATCAACAAAATGAACTTTTTCGTTACGATAGAACGAATTGTAATTCTCCTGAGGTTGTGCCAAGAAATTTCCATTTTTCGAGCAAACTAACCCGGTCGTAATAAAAGAGATTCATAAAATATTGAAAATTCCGTTAAACTCACTTCTTCGTTATAGACCCATGCCTGATTTCCCCCCATTCCGTGACACCGGACTATTTTAACTGGACCCTGAGGACTGGCTGCGTCGAGGCACATGTCGTCGGACATTATCTGCTGCCTCTTCGTGTATGCAAACACCTGAAAATAAAAAATTTGATGAAGGAGGCTGAAGGAGCGTTGCGTGTTGATAGTACATTATTTGATTGTTGTTGAATATTCTCAGGGGTTTTATTAGAGGGAATGAATATTTTGGACGTCATGAAAGGCCGTGGAATTCATAGACCCTTCAGAATTTGACCCTTAGGAATATTTAAGGATTAAATTGAATTTGTTAATTACTTACTTTTTTTCTTATGAATAAATTCTTCTTATCAATAAATCATGGAAAATATATTTCATCTCATCAAGACACGGAACAGTTTTTTAAAATAAATTAATGTTCTTTCAAAACGAATAAAGACTTATAATAATAGTTTTTTTTAATAATAATTTTTAAAAAACTGAATCAATCATTTGTTTGATTTCAATAGAAAATTCATGGGAAAGAGGAAGACAATTTTTCCTTGAAATAATCGAAGTTTACTAATCTTTACTAAAGAATAAAAATTAGTAAAGTAATGGATCATCTAAATTGTCAATTGACTACTAAACAAATCATTCAAAATTTTCGACTGTTTTATGACTGTTGTATTGCGTATTTTTGCCAAGTGGAAATTGAGTGCAGGCTACTCATTCTGATTATTTATTCATTTTTTATTTATATTAATGAATGTAAAGGCAGTATTTTTGTGTATGTTTGGTATTCAGGGCCTGACGAAGCTAAGATTTTTAGCAAAACGTCACAATTTGTTAATAAAACAATATTTTTTAAACTATTTCACTTTATTATTCATCTTACATTCAGAAAAATGGGTTATTTGAATGAAATAAACTTTATTTGATTTAAATAAAGTTTATTTAATTCAAATTTATTTAGTTTATTTAGTTAATTCAATTAATTAAATTCATGTTTTCAATTTAATTAATGTAAATTTATTTTTGCTTAAATTTACTTAGTTCATTTGATTTAAGTAAAGTTTATTTAATTCAAATGAACCATTTTTCCGCATATACTACAACCCAAAAAATTCAAAACTTAAACTCTATCGATTACTAATCTTGCATACGATACCAAAATAAAAAATCAATGCTCACCTGATTACCACCGAGCCCATGACAGTAGCTCAACCCAACAGTCTCCCCAGTTCTCCTCCCCATAGTATCCAGGCAATTCCTCATCTCCACATTTTTAACATCCCCCAGGTAATAATAATCCAAGGGCATGGGTGACTCGGGATAAATGTTCTCCAGATACCATCTGAAGCTTTTACAGTTCAATCTCTCTCGCAGTTGCACTCTCTCCGATACGTTGCCCACTGGCACACTCCTCGCACCTGCAAAATAATTCCACTCAAGTTATGATGAAAAAAAATAACATCGACGTCGTGAAATCCGTTATTTGATGCAACAGTGCTCGTGTGCAAAATAATGAAGGCAATGAGAATAAAAAATATGTGATATCATGTGCTAAGGTCCATGTGGTGTGTCGTGACATCCAATATCCAGCCATAAACGTAAAACAACACCTATAAATAAATACAAAAAATAAATTTCAAGGAGAATGCCAACGGAAATTAATCGAGTGGAATAAAAGGTATTTTTCACTTTTAATTATTTTAAAAAATGTTTTTTATTGGAAAAGGTGATACGAGGCTTTATCATTCAGACGTCTAATCATTTTTAAATTCATTTGTACTCTTAAGAACAAAACCCCATGAATTAAATTACAAACAATAATAATAATAAAAAGTAAAGAAAAAAAATTGAAAATTCCATTAGTTTTCAACTTTTTTCATTGAAATGTTTTTTTAATAGAAATTGTTTAGCAGAAGATATTTTATCGATATAAAAAATCAATGGGTTTTGGTTTCTCTATAGAAATTCATATAAAAAAATTTAATTTGGAAAAAGTAAGCAGATGAATTTTAAAATAAAAATAAAAATCTATTGTTTTTTCTGTATGAAATATTCACAAAAGAGTTGAATAAATGACTAGATAACTGAATAAACAAATGAATGCTTATGCATTTATTTATTTTTATTTATCTATTTTACTTATGTAAAATAGATAAATAAAGAAATAAATTATTGCAATGCCACGTAGCATGAATTTCCATTAAGGATATGCAAGTATTTTTTACAGTTGGGTACAATTCAACTATTTTATCATCAAATTAGTCAATTTCATTGCTCGAGTAAAATTTGAAAAAATCGAGAATATTCAGCGTCATTGAAATTAAATTCTGCACAGAATTATTATTTTGAAACCTTATTTTTTTAGGCATTAAATTGATTTCTGGCAAAATTCTAAATATGAATAAATTTGAGAAAATTCATTATTTATAAATTATTTATAGAAAATGCCCGTAATTTTCAAAAATTGCAATTTTTAATTAATTTCATCTATCTTTCTTCAAAAGTAAACTTTCTGATTTTTTTCAGATTTTTAAAATGTTTTCTAACGATTTAGTATTGAATTTAGTACTGAATATTCATCTTAGCTGTTCAAAAACATCAAAATTCTCTCCCTGAAATTTCAATGTTCTCCAAATACGTAAATAAAAATAAGAAAATTGATTGTTTATAAATTATTCATAGAAAATGTTTGTCATTTTTAAAAATTCCCATTTTTCAATCATTTTATCAATTTAATTATTTCTTTCTTCAAAAGTAAACTTTCTAATTTTTTTTTCCGATTCTTAAAATGTTTTTCGACATTTCAATATCGAGATTTAAATTCAGACCTGCAAAGTTTAAATAATAAAATCAGCCTGACGAAGCTAAAATAATTTAGCGAATCGTCGCGCTATGACAATTTAATGAGCGCCGTAATTATTTCTCCAATGTCTCCTGACCTTTCACATATTGATTAATATAATGGAGATGAGAACATTAAAAAATATCATGGAGGTGAGAATCATTAACAAAATCATCGCAAGATGTCCGGAAACAGGGTCAAATGGGGCTCAAACAAAAGTTCTGACTACAAAAATAGGAGAACATTTTACTGGAGAAAAAAATTTCCAAAGTACTTGAATATCCTCAAACCCAACAGTCAAAAAATACAATTCCCCACAAATTCTTTGATTCCACTCAAATGAAAATAATGCAACGGGTATCTGATAGACTGTCATATCGATGTTACCTCCTAGCGGTGACGGAAGACAGTAGATAAATAGTATCGTGGGAGCATGCCAACACAGTTTTAATGATATGTGAAAGAACATGCTAGACAGGCAAAAAGGCAATGAATCACTGTATTATTCCCATGTTCTTCCCCCCCTCCTAATTTTTGTGTGCATGTTTTGTGCGGATAAATCTCCCCATGAACTTCAGTTAACTCTGTTTGTTTGTTCTTTCTCTTTCCTTCTGTTAGTTGCTACCTGGATTAATGTTGTAATAGAAGTACTTCCACTGGTCCAACCACACCTCAGCAAGACGGGCATTGTTGTGATTGACAATCTTACTCGTACCACCAGGAAATGTGTACGGCGTTGATTTACGAAAGACGTGTCCAACGTGTGAGCACGTCGCTATTTCCAATGTCCCACCACACATCCATATCTGACCAACTCAATTCGGTTAGTGTGTTAGAAATTATTGTTAAGGTTGGGGGGATTGGACGTACGATGAAAACTTGATGGACTTTATTTTATTGGAAAATTCCAGGAGCTTTTCTTAAATTAAGGCCCGGGTGTGCTATCTTTCGAACGATATCTCGATGTTTTTTTTCATCTTTCGTCATCTGAAATAGTCAATTAAGTCCTGCATCTTGCAGAAGTTTTGAAAAATTATGAATGAATAATCAAAAAAAAGCAGAAAAAATTCTCAATTTTTTCAAAGAGCATTTTTAATTTATATTCAGAACCAGTTGAATAACTAGAAATTGAAAAATGTATCTGATTTACGGTGACAAATGGCGGACTGTCACCCAATATCATGCAGGGGGAAGACTGATCTCGTAAATCTTTTCCCACTCTGCACAGAGACATTTATTACGGAAAAGGCTCTTTCAAAAAAGTTGTAATATTTTGGAGAATTTTTTAATCACACTTTTATCACATAAAAATGGCAGATGACTACATACCACTGTTTTGAAAATTGAGATACCTAGCTGTCACTTCCCATGAGGAGTTAGAGTTTTGTTATCCACCATGGAAAATGACAGCTAATAGATAATTTGCCACAGCGAATCAGATATTTGTAATTTCCACTTTTTCCAACTCATACTGAATCTCAATTAAAAACGCTCTTTGAAAAAGTTCAGAAATTTTTCTATTTTTTTTATCATTCCATCATAATTTTTGGGAATTTCTACATGATGTACCACTCAATTGACAATTTTGGATTACGAAAGATGAAAAAAATCCAGATAACATTCGAAAGATAGTACACCCGGAAAACCATAAAAACCATGTGATTTATACATTTCTATAAAACATATGTAAAACCATAAAAAAAATCCACGATTTTTGGGGAAAAAAAATAATTTCAGACGTCACCGTAAGCAGAAAGTTCAAATCCCGATTGCTTTCTCCCCTAAAAACTTTCCACTTCACCATAAAAAAAAGTTCTAAAAATCTGAACTGAATTTTCGAATGGAATCCCCGTAGAATTTCCCCCCAAACCCTCGGTCGTTCCATCAAATTAATTCGTACATGCCAGCATTACAATTAACGTCTCAAAAATCATAGCATTATAAAATCGAAGACATTATCGCTGTCGCCGTGCCTCAGGTTCCTCGAAGACCTAAATAATCCATTTTAAAAAAAACAGCAGTTGGTCAAACACATGTGTTTTCATGTTAGTCGGTTGGATGGATGAGTGGGACATTAAGACATCACAAGTGTAAATCCGACGTTAATAACCGATATCTATAGCATAAATTCCGTAGCAATACCTAGAACGAACTCATAACCATTCTAAAATTTCTTCTCTAAAAAAATTCGTATGAGCAACAAAAATATCAGATACCCGTTTGATTCTGAGATTTAATAAAAATCGACGGAACTTCGGTTACAAAATAAACTTACTTAATTCGTGCAACGAGACAATCTTCATGTTTCTGTCAACGTTCATCAAAAGCCACATTGTTAAGAGCATTAGTAATTCCAGAAGAGTATAAATAAAATATTTTTAACGAAAAATATCACATAGAGCGCGGATGAGCCAAGGAAATAGCAATTCAGTAGCGAATTGGTAAAACGGTAGAAATCAATTTTGACTACTGCCCAATTTTCAACGAATATCTCGGAATCTAAGGCAGATGGCAAAATTTTTGTTATAACCTTTTTTGTAGAGCCGATTGAGTGCTACAAAAAATGTAATGACGAAAATTGCGCTATCTCCCGTAGATTCGAAAATATTCCTCAAAAACTCAACTGGGAGATAAGTCGACTTCAACCGTTTTACCACTTCGCTACTGAATTATATTAAATTTTTGTTAAATAACATAATTTGAGGAATTGAATCGTGTCTAACCTGGGTTCATGGCATAGTAAAAGTCTCTCCACTCATCCATCCAGACCTCGGCTACTCTAGCAGCATTGTGAAGTACAATCTTGCTGACACCACCAGGGAACGTGTACGGTGATTTGTCACGGAATACATGGCCCACATGGGAGCATGGGGCTATTTCTAATATTCCACCGCACTGCCACACCTAGAATTCAACTCCAAGTTTCACAGAAAAGTTCCGCAAATTCAAGTTGCAAACTCCTTGAATTATTCACACGGTTTTAAGGAAATTAGAGCTGTAATGATTCGTTAGTGCGCCTGGGAATTAAGGCAGTTGAAATCACAGTTTTATTTGGCCGGGTGGGGGTGTCGACTTTGGAGAAGTGGTGGAAGGTGATAAGGGAAGAGATGATTTTGAGAATGTCTGGAGAAGTGTAATGCTGAGAATTTTTATCGAGTGGGAGTTTTACTGAAATTTCAAAGAATTTCGTCGTTCAAAATGGTTTTATTGTTTTTCATTTTGATTCTTCATTTTGAATCGTTAAAAGGGGTTCTGAATTTGCATTCAATCTGTACGAGAATTTGGATAGAAAGGTTCTTAAGCATGTTGATTTCTGCTTGAACTCCTTTAGATTAAAAATTTAAGAAAGTGATGTGAACTGATACAAGAGCTTGAAGAATAATTTTGTAAACACATTTGTATTTTTTTATATTTTTAGCAGAATAAACCACACGGTTTGAATGCTTCAAATAGCAAATAAGTAAACAAAATTAGAATGCAATTTAAGGAAGAGCAATAGCTGTTTGAATTTTTAATTTTTTAAAAGAATTTTCCTTCTTTCAGGAATCTGAAAACTGCAATTGCATTGAATATTCCAGAAATGAACTAATTTGTCACTAACTAGTATTTGTTGATAATAATAAATTTAAAAAACTAGTATTTGTTAAAAATCTCAAGATCTTTTAATTGAAATTTTTGAATTTTTAAGTCCCCCAGACATTCGCAAGAGGAATTGGTCCAGACTAATGACTTTCAATCCTTCTAATTAATGTATGACTCACGGGAATATTAATATGAAACCCCATGAAAGATTCTGAACATCAGAAAGATATATAAAACTCTTTTGACTCATAAAATTATAAAAAGATTCTAATTTTTTAGTTTTTTCCACGAATAATTCATAAAAAATTGATTTTCAGCCCTAAAATCATCAAACATTTTTCACAGCAAAGTTCTTTATATTAAAAATAGTTATAGTGACAACATAATTTGAAATTTCACGTGAATGTTTAAATATAACAATTAAAAAAATCAAACATTTCCGTTTAACATTTACGTTCTTCAGTTCCCCGGATATTCGCAAGAGGAATTGGTCCAGACTAATGACTTTCAATCCTTCTAATTAATGTATGACTCACGGGAATATTAATATGAAACCCCATGAAAGATTCTGAACATCAGAAAGATATATAAAACTCTTTTGACTCATAAAATTATAAAAAGATTCTAATTTTTTAGTTGTTTCCACAAATAATTCATAAAAAATTGATTTTCAGCCCTAAAATCATCAAAAATTTTTCACAGCAAAGTTCTTCATATTAAAAATAGTAATAGTGACAAAATAATTTGAAATTTTACGTGAATGTTTAAATTTAATCATTAAAAAATTCAAATATATGTTCAAAAATATTATCATATATTTTTAAACTCTTCAGTTCCTCTTCCCCAGACATTCGCAGGAGAAGTAGGTCCAGCCTAACGTCCTGGCATCCCCCCCATCAACCCATGACCCAAGAGAATAACCACAATAACTCACCCTGAAGCTCATTTCGAGGTTTTCACCCCCCCAGATGTCCATTCCCTCGTCATAAGCCCCAAGTTCGTAAAAGTAGTCTTTATCAATGGAGAACAATCCACCGGCCATTGTGGGTGTCCTTAATGGAGCTGTCCTGTCCCCATTACGCCTGTCCATTTCCCTCTGCGCCACTCGATACCTAATTGGCACAATTATCACCGTCAGTACCTCAATTCAAAGGAACTCCCCCCGAAAGATCGGAGAAGTGCAAATCAATAGTGAAATGGTAAACGGAGATAAGTCGACGCATCTCCCAGTTGAGTTTTTGAGGAATAATTCCAAATCTAAGGGAGATGGCGAAATTTTCGTAATGACATTTATTGTAGCGCTCAATCTGCTTCACAAAAAAGGTCATAACAAAAATTGCGCTATCTCCCTTAGATTCCGAGATATTGATTGAAAACTGGTCAATAGTCAAAATTGACTTATGTCGAAGAAAGAAAAACACTCAAAGAGATCAACAAGAGCAACCCCAGACCACTGAATATTCAAGATATCCTAAAGTCCCTCAGAAGAAAAGACATTAAGGCCCCGGTGTACTATCTTCCGAATGTTATCTGGATTTTTTAAATCTTTCGTAATCCAAAATTGTCAATTGAGTGGTACATCATGCAGAAATTCCCAAAAATTATGATAGAATGATAAAAAAAATAGAAAAAATTCTGAACTTTTTCAAAGAGCGTTTTTAGTTGAGATTCAGAATGAGTTGAAAAAAGTGGAAATTACAAATATCTGATTTGCTGTGGCTAATTATCTATTAGCTGTCATTTTCCATGGTGGATAACAAAACACTAACTCCTCATGGGAAGTGACAGTTAGGTATCTCAATTTTCAAAAAAGTGGTATGTAGTCATCTGCCATTTTTATGTGATAAAAGTGTGATTAAAAAATTCTCCAAAATATTACAACTTTTTTCAAAGAGCCTTTTCCGTAATAAATGTCTCTGTGCAGAGTGGGAAAAGATTTACGAGATCAGTCGTCCCCCTGCATGATATTGGGTGACAGGCCGCCATTTGTCACCGTAAATCAGATACATTTTTCAATTTCTTGTTATTCAACTTGTTCTGAATATAAATTAAAAATGCTCTTTGAAAAAATTGAGAATTTTTTCTACTTTTTTTCATTATTCATTCATAATTTTTCAAAACTTCTTCATGATGCAGGAGTTAATTGACAGCTTCAGATGACGAAAGACGAAAAAAAACACCCGGATAGTACACCCGGGCCTTAAAGCCATTTCAAAATTCTTCAAAAATTGTTCAATTCAGATGTAAAATGTTTAACAAAGACACTAACTAACTAACTAACATTACGAGACAATTACCATTTATATATTTTACTACTATGTAATGTAATGATAAATTGTAATAAAATTATTGGTAGATGAATGAGTCCGAAAGGGGTTGGGAAGCTTAATAAAAAAATAGAAACCGTTGACTTATCTCCTTTTATCACTTCGCTACTGAAATGAATCCGTGAAAATTACCATCTGAAATTGAGTTTCCAGTTGAATCCACCCCAGGTCATATCGCTCGCTGTTATGTACTCAAATGTCTCGTCACTGATCACATCGATTATGGGACAGACCACTGTTTTTCTGTTGTACGCTATTCTACTGAGCAATGGCTCGAGCCAGCCCTCTGTGCATTCGCAATGAGCATCGAGGAATGTTATCACTTGACCCGTAACTTTTTCAGCACCCAAGAGTCTGGCTCTTATCAGTCCCGATCGTTTCTCCTGGCGGTAGACGTACGTCGGGACTGGTAATGTTTTTACATAGTCCTCAAGATCTTGTTTGAGGTGATCTACAGACAAATTATTGGCCTTCAGCTGTTTGAATTATTGGCCTTCATTATCCGAATAATTATAAACTTCGTGGAAATTCCGTGGCGAAACGGTAAAATGGTTCAAGCCGATTTGGCGCTTAGCTGAGTTTTTTACGAATATCTCGGAATCTGAGAGAGATAACGAAATTTTCGTAACGACCTTTTTTGTAGAGCGAGTTGAGGGCTACAAAAAAGGTTATGATAAAAATTGGGCTATCTCCCGTAGATTCCGAGATATTCATTGACATGTCGTGGTTAGAATTATTTCAAAACTTAATTTCATTGAAAATTGAATTCCTCAATAAGTCTGACTTATACGTTGTCCACCGACGCTGACTTGCTGTCGATGCAGCTCAATTTACCGGCTTACCGCGCCACGCGTGTCCCTGAAAACCCCGAAATCGAAGACGCAGGGCAATTGCAGTGTTAACGATAAACTAACTGGCGCCCAATTATTAATATTGTCGAATAAACCTGTGAACTAAGGGATTTTCTTGAGCCCTGGCAGCCCTTGACCCAGGCCGCGCCAGGTGTGGGCCTTCAATTTATATTTTGCATTCAAATTTATCAATTTATTCGAATTATTTATTTAAAATCAAAAGGCCTGTCTCAATCACAGACACCTGGCCAATAGTCTAAATAACAAATAACCACAATTACCTCTTTCGCTGGCATCATCAACGAGGATGATCTCCTTGAGCAATGCACTGGGCGACCTATTGATGACCGACCAGACTGTCCTCAGCAGTGTACTCCACGCCTCATTATGAAACACAATGACAATACTAGTATCTGGAAGTGTCTTCTGATATGGCTTGGTCTTGCAGCCCTTGAACCTGACATCCTTCAACGAGCGATTCAACGCTATCATGTCACTCGCCATCAAGTTAAATTGATTGAGCTTGAACAGCTCTTGCTGCTTGGCCTCATCCTCCGGTCCAATTCTCACAGGATTGCCCATTTCCCCGGGCTTTCCCTTGTTCTCCTTCACGACTTTAGCTGGCCGCCACAGTTTAAATTTCGACGGCTTGTTCTTTCCATCCCCTGACGTATCAATCTCATTCTTTGGTGATTGCAAATGAGGTGCATTACCAATTTCCTCGGTAATTTGTTTGCTATCAGGACAACCCCATCCTGTACCGCGTATACAGTCAGAGTACAGCATTATCACTATGACATCCACCAGAAACCATACCAGAGAAGTCAGCAGTATCACTTGGCACGTGTGAATACGGATCTTTGAGCGAAACATTTTTACTTTCTTGGTTTTTCACAGGGGGCAATACTCGGCTCATCACCTGATACTATTGTCTGCGTTTTTTTTTTCGTTTTATTTTGCTGGAGATTTCTTCGGGGGACTTCCGCGGAGACCTGCTAACTTTTCTCGTAGGATTGCACGTGACCTCAGGGGGTGCTACTGTCCCCTGTCATCGTTACGAGGGTTTTTTTCCAATTTCTGAAATGTCAAAAGATTTTGCATTGGTGGGAGGTTGTTTGAAGACGAGAAACTCTTTGGGTAATAGATATGGAGAAAATGATGTTTTGGGAGGGGGGGGGGCTTCGCCCCCCTGTAAGTTAGGGGGGCTAGGGGGGTAAGGTACTGAGAGTCATCTAGGAGTCTTCTGGATTATGTGGAAATCATCAGTTAAATTAAGACTACCTCATGGTGGACGAGTTAACTGCGGAGGGGGCCTAGCCCCCCAATATTCATCTATGAAAGTAGGAGCTGTCGTTTTAGTGATAGATGAAGAATTTCTGACTTGTTGGTCAATGGAGTAAATACAGAACAGAAGAGAAAATTTTCATTTTTCATGTCTTGAAAATCTTTGCGGAGGGGGCTTCGCCCCCCCTGTACGCTAGGGGGGCTGATTCCCGTAGCATGGTCATGTGAAAGTCTTATGAGAGGCATTTGAGAGTCTTATGTGGGTTATATGGAGATTATCAGTTATATGAAGACTACTTCATGATGAGCGAGCCAAGCGCCGAGAGGGCCAAGCCCCCCAATATTCATCTATGAAAGAAACAACTCTCATCTTAGTGATAGATGAAGAAGAATTTCCAAGTTATTGGTCAATGGAGTCGATATGGAATAGAAGAGAATTGAACGAGTCAATTCTTCATGTATTGAGAAGTTTTGGGCAGGGGGCTTCGCCCCTTGTAAGATCAGGGGGGCCAATTCCCATCATAGAATTATGTAAAAGTCTTATGAGAGTCATTTCAGTCTCATGTGAGTCATATGGGTCACATGGAAATCATCAGTTATATCAAGTAGGATTGAAGAGGGTCTTTGCCCCGCGCCTTCCGAGGGTGCAAGGGGGCGAGGCCCCCTAACAGGGTCACATGAAAATCCTATAAGTCATCTGGGAGTCTCACGTGGGTCAGACGGATTATGAAATTACGAAATGATCAGTTACAGGGAGCCTACATTATAATGGACGCCCCAAACACGCAGGGGGCCAAGCCCCCCCGTATTAACTTACTAAGAAAAACCCTCGCTTAAGTGAAAAATGAAGAATTTCCAACTAGTTGGCTAGTGGAATAGTAACAGAACGAAACAGAACAGAACGAGTCAATTCTTCACGTCTCGTTGAGTATTGGGGGGCGTAAGAGGTGGTGAAGAATAATATAGAAGTTCAATAATTGAAATAATTTAATTTTCCTTCTCTGATCTCCATGGGACAGAATGAATTTCAGTCCATTATTTTTTCATCACCCAAGTGAAATGTCAGACTCTTCATTTGTCCATTTCTGACATTTCCATTTGAATACCTTTAAAATCAAATAATTCTATTAACATCACTGAATTATAACCTAATAAACTCCTCACTATTCCCACAATCATATGAAATCCCCAGTGGTGCAGAAATAGAATTATAGAATACGTCAAATTGAAAGTATTTCTGTTTCCACTCCAGTGATGAGCGACAGAGAAATGGTGCATCAATTCACCTGAAAATACAGCTCCATCAGCTCTGAATTTATTGAATTAATTGAGTTCTGTCATGAATAACTACCGCTTGAATATTCATTCCATGAATTCGTAGAATTTTATCCGAATGATATTCAACATTAATAGCATTACTTTTTCATTTATTCTCCGAATTACGTCAAACCGTTTCCATAACGATTATCGGAAATTGAATTACGCGAAATTCAATTGTATCTGCGAGCACTTGGCGGGGCAAAAAAAATGGGACAAACAGGAAAATTTCCTCTTTCTGTCCAAACAAATTAAATTCCCCGAGTCGTACTCATTCTTCTTTTACTAGCGAGTGTTTTTTTAATGGAGTGTCAGGTAAAAGTTTGCTCCTATTATTGCCTTGAAATTACTCAGGCGTTGTATTATCTGCAGAGGTACACAAGGCGAAATGCATCGAGTGAATTCCAATCAATTGAATCCTTTGACATTTTTTTATTGCTGTGGAGGTGTAATTACGACGAATGACTGGGCTTATGACCTTATCGATTTATATTCAGATCGGAGTGGAGTCGATAAAGTAATTGTCAATGATTTTTCTCCGATGGAATGGAGTTATCGGAATCAATTGGATAGTGAAGGGGTGAGGCAAAATGAGTATAAGGAAAATTGACAGATTATTCTGTAGAGATTTCTGTAAAATGAAAACAATCAATGTTTTTGCTCTTGAATGGAAGCTTTGCAATCGGGCAAAGCGATTACTTTAATAAGCTCTATTCATTGACACCAATTAAAATTTGATTATTCATACAGATTCAAAAAATTGATATTTTTCCAAAAATCGATTTTTCAACGATCACTCAAGACATTGTCATCAGAATGAAATTAGTCATGGCTCAAAAAATTTATAATAATAGCCTCTTGGTGAGTTATTCATTGGTGAGTTACACCCAAGTAGGAATTATATAGGCTGACGATGGAAACCAGCATGTACGAGTCTAGGTTTGGCGAGGCTCAGTGACTCAGGCCTGGGACAGGCTTGATTTCAGCGTTCACTCCAGCCTGAAATGAGGGTGATTCAAGGGGCCATTGGCGAGGTTCAATTTAGGCCTAGTCCAGGTTTCGAGTATTGAGGCTCAGTATATCATGGCCTTCAATTGAAAGCCCGAGTTGAAATCCCGAGTTTGTAGCAAAGATGTCAGACAAGATATGAATGTTTTTTTGGGCTCAAACGAAAGAGCGGGTCGAGAAATGGCGTGCTAGGACCTCTAAAGATGGTTTTGAACCAGGGGAGACTCCTAGACCCCAATGTTCTATACATACTCCTAGACCCCATTGTCCTCCTAGACAATGATGTCACAACTCTGCTTTTCAATTGAAAACAGATATCATCTTTAGAGACATTTGTCATGTTTAGAGGCTCTAGCACGTCATTTCTCGACCCGCTCTTTCATTTGAGCCCAAAAAAACATTCATATCTTGTCTGACATCGATGCTACAAACTCGGGTTTTCAACTCGGGCCTTCAATTGAAAGCCTTCGGCTCGGCCTGTAAACTTCACATTCGTTGAAAACGAAGTTTATGCCCGAGTGGTCTATACTATTTTATGCCACATCGTGCAGAAGCCGAGTTTGAAGCACGCTGCGCGAAGCGCAGCGTGCGATAAACTCGACTTATTGCACGGCGTGCCATAAATGTATAAATAAGACCAATCGCCCCTATCACCGGCTATCTAATCGCAACAAAATTCTTCTCACAGTATCGCCGGGAACGTCAGCGATAATTTCATTGAAAAATCAATCAAAATAAACTCGTTAAACAATCACATGCCCCCCCCCCCCCCCCCCTCCCGACCCGATAAGTACCGTTCGTCTTCCGCATACGAAGCCTCCATCACAACTGAATCAAAACAAAGAGAATAAACACACGGGGAAATCATTGACACGGTCATTGGTACTTGAGTTTACGGTTCACGCGTTTGTGGAGAGTTCACCGTGACAAAGGAGCGCCACCTGAATTAATATTATGCACTCACGCTCCGGTAAATACGTCGGATCATGGAGGCATGAAGAGACAACTTGTGCCGGCATTTCCAACCGGATGTATCGTTCAGATATGTTTCCCAATTGGCGTATTTAGCTCTTTTTCTAGAAAATTTCAGTCCTACGGGGGTTGTCTAGTCATTGGTTCTTGGTGAGAGAGTGGAAATGAAAATATTTTTAGTGGTTCAATTTTTTTAAATGTAACATTTCGATATATCGATCGATTACATCAATATATTTATCTATTATATGGATATATTGATCTATTATGGCGATATATCAATCTAGTATATCAAAATATTGATGATATATTGATATAATACATCAATACGTCGCTCTGACGCATCGATAAATTGCTCTGGTAAGTGGGAATGGTAATATTTTTAGTGGATCAATTGGTTTTAATGCAAAATGTCGATATATCGATCTATTACATCAATATATTTATCTATTATCTCAATATATTTATCTACTATAGCGATATATCGATCGATTATATCAATATATTAATGCTTTCTATCGATATATTGATCTACTATACCGTTATATCGATCTTTTCGTTCAAAATTGAATTTTTTTCCATCAAAACCATTAACTGGCATGAGATCATTTTTTAATGAAACGTCTGAGATGATTAAACAATTTCCAATAATAGGACATTTCTCGATCAATTTACATCGAATCTTGTATTTGCGAGGCCGTCAATCTCATTATGAGGACGATAATCTATTTTTGAACAGTACTATTCGTGTTTTCACATGAATTATTGATTTTTCCTCAATTCTGTTCAACTTTATGGGTCATTTTCCTTTGTATTCTGAGTGGTTTCGCCTGAATTATTGACTGGGAAAACCATTAAGGCCACTCATGCTTTGAGGAGATTCGCTGATAACAGTTTTTCCTTGGAATCTTGAAAGATTGAGTGGGCAATTATTCATATGTGGGGGCAGATGAATGGATCGTGCGCTTCGGCGGTAAATTTTTTACCTTTTGTATTCTATTTCTTTTAATGCGTTCCTCACAAAATAAACTTTATAGGAATAGAATTGGTTTGTTGTAATTAACATTTATTGATGCAAAAATTTTTGTAAATTAATAAATTGTTAAATTTTGCGAAAATTTTGGATTTTATTATTTTTGAAAAATTGTATATAAATTAGAACAACAAAAATTTCGCATTAGTCCACTCTAAAATCAACTCTAAACTAGAATTTTCACCCTAGAAACAAAACTTGACGTTTTCATTGAAATCCGTGACTTCAAAAGAGTCTCCTCATCTCCTATCTCCATCATAAATCATGAACTCCATCAACAACTCCATTCTGAATCCCATTGGAGCCTGGAGACTGCTCCATCAGCAATAAAATTTCATTAAAAAATTCCAACAGCAGCAATACCGTAATTTTTTTTTATTCGCCTCAACATGCGTATGAATATCATCACGAAACCGATAAAGCCCACGAAATGCTTGATTCCTCATGTAACCCATCGATATCC